AGTTTTCTATTGAGTTTTAGGGAGAGTGGAAGAGAGAGGGAAAGACAGAGAGAAACATCGATGTGAGAGAAACACATCGATTGGTTGCCTCCTGCACAAGCCCTAACTAACCAGGATCTGGACCAGGGAGGAACCTGCAACTGAGGTATATGCCCTTCACCAGAATCAAACCTGGGACCTTTGGGCCTCAGGCTGATGCTCTATCCACTGAGCCAAACAGGCTAGTGCTAAATTCTACATTTTAGAACCTCATACCAAGAAAGTCTCTTAGCGAGAGAAATCTCTTGCCAATTAAGTCCCTGCACAGCTAACAGTCTGAACTTTTTTACTATCACCACTAATGTAATGCCTTCTGTAGTTTAAAAATTTTTTTTTATTGATTTCAGAGAGGATGGGAAAGGGAAAGATAGATAGAAACATCAATAATGAAAGAGAATCATCAATCTGCTGCTTCCTGCACACCCCCTACTGGGGATTGAGCCCGAAACCTGGGCATGTGCCCTTGACTGGACTGGACTCAAACTTGGGACCCTTCAGTCCACAGGCCGACGCTTTCTCCACTGAGCCATGCTGGCCAGGTGTGCCTTCTGTCTTAAATAAGGCCTTGGAAATTTTACCAGCTGAAACAATGTATGATTTTAAAGAGAAGCTAGAAACAGAACCAGATAATGAAATAAGAATTATATGGTTTTCAAGAATAGGACAATAAACAAAAATGTGGTTCTGTTTAAACTTAAAAAAAATCAAGAGTAAACAAACTTTCACTGCAATCAAGAATCTTAGACAAAAACCTTTTTGTCTCTATCTTGTGTGGATGAAAAAGAGGCCACACACTAAACCTGATAAGCTCAGAGGAGGCCTACATGGCTGGCCTTACAAAATCAGACTGAAAGTTACGGTTTTTATGCGGGCCGTGAACGAATTCACAACTTAAAGAAGCGATGCATAGAGGAAGTTTATTTTACTTTCTCTGAAGGGAAAGGGCAGGTGTATTGCTAATCAAGACAAGGGCAAAGAACAAAAAGCTGGTCCTCTTTTTAAAGCCTTGGCTGCTGTTGCTAGGTGACGAGGAGGATTTGGGGAATGAAATAGAGCAGGCATCAGGGTGTGGGTCTTTGTTAGTTTTTCAGGAGACAGTCCAGGCAGATGTCCTAGGGAGGTGTCTTACTAGTATTTTCTCAAAGCCTGTAAAATATGCTTAGAGCAAAAGTTATAAAGAGTTTAAAAGAGGCTTGTTTGAAGAGGCGGAGGGAAGGGAACTTTCTACCAATTATCCCAGAGTTGTAAAAAAACCGAACCAGCAAGGAGGGGTACGCAAGAATGTACTAGTAGACTTGAGAGTAACATATCTTGTCTTGCAGTTTGAATAGAGGGGCTATTTAAATTAGAGGAGCTAATAATCTTGAGTTTAATTACCAGGTGTTTTTTATAAATTGTGGACGGCCCAGCAAAGCAAAAGAAAGGCCTACCCCCACCCCCCTCCCCCGGCCTTACAGTAACCATACAGGATGGTCTAAACCTAAAATTCCAAACCAACAGGGAATCATGGCAGGTAGTCACCACCGAGGCCTACAGTGTCCTTGATAAAAGTCAATCTTTACCTTAAATGAGCCTGTCTGTTGTCTTTTCACATCTAAGGTAGCACCCCCTTGGAATGTCAGAATATTCCCCTTTTCCAGACCCTTCAGGGTACAATCTCCCACCAGAGCATCAGACCAGAGAACATTCCAAACCAACAGGGAATCATGGCAGGTAGTCACCACCGAGGCCTACAGTGTCCTTGATAAAAGTCAATCTTTACCTTAAATGAGCCTGTCTGTTGTCTTTTCACATCTAAGGTAGCACCCCCTTGGAATGTCAGAATATTCCCCTTTTCCAGACCCCTCAGGGTACAATCTCCCACCAGAGCATGAGACCAGAGAAGCCCTCACTGTTATCTTGTTGCCCACATACCATCTCTGTGTTGTAAATGTTAAATATTAACTGCCCTCTACCCACCAATGTAAAAGTATGTGTCTCTCCTTTGACTTTTTATTAATCTCAGATATTTCCTTGCTTTGCTTTTTCCCACACCTTAATGCAGGGGTCCTCAAACTTTTTAAACAGGGGGCCAATTCACTGTCCCTCAGACCGTTGGAGGGCTGGACTATAGTTTAAATACAATATTTGTATTTGCATGTGGCCCATGGGCCGTAGTTTGAGGACCCCTGCCTTAATCTACCTCCAATGAATTTTATGTAACCCTCTTATGTCTCCTCTGATTCATATGTATAAAATAAGCTGTAAAACCGCTATTTTCTGGAGCATTTTTCTCAATCTGTTCAGATTTCACTTTCCGGCAACTGTCATCAATTTGGTTCAAATATTGTGTCAATCATGACAGAAAGTCGATGTCATGGTAGTGCAACAAAGCCAAGTGATTCAAAGCGCTATCATCATCATGGCAAGTACACATGCTGATCAGGTGCTGGTACTGTTCTGAGAGTCATGTAAACAATCACTCACTTAGTCCTGCTACTGAGATAGGCACTATTCTCCCCATTTTACTGACGAGGAAATGAGGCACAGTATTTAGTGGGGATGGACATGCAGCCATGTAGCCACAGCCCTCACCTGGTATGCTGTGACACACACACAGACTAGAGGAGACTCTACAACAGGAAAACTCCAATGCCAAGAGGAATGTAGGGTCAGGGACTCTCTACAGCTCCATGTTTTCATCCGCCTAAAAGAACTGCTCACTCAACAGCTAAGCATCTCTCCTGGTTTTCCCCTAAATTAGAATGTTTGAAAGGTGTGATGTGGGACCACCAGTCACAAAGGACACATATTCAAATAAAACAACTTCCTATAATAATGTCAAATTCACAGCACACATCTTTACAACTCCGGTTATGGCCTTTCAACCTGAGGAAATTCTTAATTACCTGTCAACAGCCAAGAACTTCTTCCGCTCCTCTTCAGTTTGAGCGTGGGCTTTCTCCACTTTGGAATTCTGGGCGGCAAATGCGTCCTGCAGTTGCTGCCGCTTCCCCATGAGCTCATCCACAGCCTGCAGACAAGTTTCTTCAACCTGGATGGAGAGGATTTGCGTTGTAGATTTACCATCTTTTACATCAATAATGTCAACAGCTCTTCTTTTTTTAAATAGCTCACCTTCTTATCAATAAAGTCAAACCAGTCATTCTGAGATCCACCCTTACCCTGTGTGATTCCTGAGGCTCTCTCACGGAAGGGGCCCCTCACTTACACTTCCTGGAAATTGGGGATCAGGTCCGGCCTTTGTCCTTCACTTTGGATTCAGTCCTCACTACCTGCCACTGATTTCTCTCCCTGTTGTCTGGGAAATGTTCATGCTACTACGAACTCTTAATTAGCAAACTAGACAGACAGAGACTTTACTTTTTTAACTAAATACATAAATTTTACTTTCATCACTTCCTCCTTCCAGACTCTCTGGGGCTTCAAGGATACCATCCCTCTGGCGCTCTTCATAGCAGTACTGTGACCTCATTCCAGAATCCCACCCCTGCTCCACTGCCTTCCTCTCTGCCTGGGAGTCTCAGCCACTCATATATGGTTCCAGTTTACCCCACAGCCCAGCCCAGCCTTCCCATTATCTCTGCGCTCTTTACCTGACAGAAATTGCTATCTAGGTATCACATGATAACTCAAGCCCCACAGGTCCAGAATTTTCTCTCCTTAACCTGCTTTTCCTATCCACCAGTTGCCCAAGTTAGGACCAGTCATTTGTGGCATCTCCTCTCCCACTTCATCTAATAATGCGTGAAGCTGTGCCCATTTTACTTCAAGTTATTTCTCATATCTGCCCCCTGCACCCCACCCCTCTGTAAGACTTAGGAGCACAACAAGATGCATTCAATGGAGGAAGTAATTATTTTAATGATGAGACACTTCATTATTATTTACCTTCTTCAGGTTATCAATGTCTTCTCTACCTTTCTGGATAGTTTCTTTTAATGTGTTGATCTTATTTAGTTTCTTCTTCAGCTGATTGCGACTATATTCTAGTTGAATATTAAGCCTAGTTTTTTGTTTTTCAAATTCTAACCTAGAGTAGTAAAGTCAAATGTTATAAGTGGCAAATATAGTCCTTTAATTCACTGTTTATTATGGAAAATTTCAAACAAATACAAAAGCAGGAGGAGTACTTTAATGAATTCCCATATAGCTACCATCCAACTTTAGTAATTATCAATTCATGGCTAATATGACCCCACTCATCACTCCCTCCCCTCATGGATTACTTGAAGCAAATTTCATACATATGTAATTTCATCTGTACATGTTTTAGTATGTATTTCTGAAAGTGAAGTGATTTTTAATGTATAACCATCCACTATTAGAGATAAAAATGATGACAATTCCTTCAATATCAAATTGCTATCACTTGCAAATTTCCTAAGTATCACTATTTTAAAACTGGTTTGTGTCAATCAGTAGCCAAACATTGCATACAATATGTTTAAGTCTCTTATACAAGTTTCCTTCCCTTTTCTCCTTTAAGTTACAATTTTGTACTTATCCTTATTTAGTCAGTCATTTGTAATAGCTATTTATTCAGAAACTCCCAAACTTGGAATTTAAGAACGTGTTCCTTCCTGATGCACTACCGTATTACACAGGTCCTCCTTCCCGCCCCCACCCTCTTCCAGCCGGCACCCTGCACTCCCTACTTTACCAGAGTGATAAAGTCCTCTAAAGAACTCCCCTATCACAGTAGTGCACCCTTTCCATCCTCTCTCCCTCTAATATACTGCTAACAGAGTCATTCGTTCAAGAAACATGTTAAGCACTACGTGTATCATAGATATAACTGATACAAAGACAACAACAAAAACAACTGTAATGACAAAAACAACAAGTACTATTTAATGACAGGTTATAAATGCTCTTGCATGAAGTGACTCACTTAAGTTGTCTGACCCTCTGAGACAGGTAATAAATGCCACTGTCCCTATGTAACTGACAAACCGAGGCAGAGAGGTGAGCCTCTCGCCCCAGGCTACCCACTTAGGAAGTGAGGGCGCCAGCAGGACACATTATGCAGGGACAACAGAGTCCCTGCGCTTAGCCACTGCCTGTAGGAGTGGCTGAGAACCAACTCTGAGGTTATTTCTGCTTCGGCAGGAAGACATCCAGGCTGCACACGAGGGAAACACTGCTTTCCTGGGCTTTGGGGCTCCACACTACTCTGGCTTTCCTTCCCCCTCACTGGCTGCTCCTTGAATGGTTCCTTCTCTTCTGATCAATTTGTTAACATCGCCTGGGATCTCTTTTCTACCTACATTCATTCACTTTTGATCTGATCCAGTCACATGACTCAAATGCCATCGGTATGCCAATAATTTCCACCTTTATACTTCCAGACTGGACCTCTCCCAGGAGCTCTTAACTGTCCATTTGACTGCCTGCTCTACATCTCCGATTGGATGGCAGAGGCATCCTGGGACACATAATGGATAATCTACTAAAAGCAATAAGTTTTAGTAAGTTATTAGATGTTAGACAATCTAAAATTTAATACCATTTTCTACATCAGTACAAGACAACCAGAAAAGTATCATACAAACAGATACTATTCACAAGAGAGAAAAACTAAAAATCTAGAAATTAACTGAACAAGAACATTCATATTTCTATGGAAAATAACTTTAAAATTATAATGAAGAAAATGATGATCAGAATAAGTGAAGAGACATTCTATGTTCTTAGTAAGAAGACTTAATATACTGAAGATGTTCTCCTTAAATAAATCTATAAATCCAGCCCTAGCCAGACAGAGCGTCGGCCTGTGAACTGAAAGGTCCCAGGTTTGATTCCAGTCAAGGGCACATGCCCAGGTTGTGGGCTCGATCCCCAATGGGGTACCTGCAGGAGGCAGCCGATCCACCATGATTCTCTCTCATCATGGATGTTTCTATCTCTCTCTCCCTCTTCCTTCCTCTCTGAAATTAATAAAAATATTTTAAAAATCTATAAATCCAATGCAATCTCAATCAGAATCCCAGGTTCATTTTATGAAAAGCTCAATAAAAAGCAATAGGCAGAATTCTTTACAAAGAAAATCTACTGAAATTAAAGTAGACTTCAGAACAAGGAATAAATACGACAGGGATAAAGAAGGGCATTTTACAAAGATAAGGAAATCAATTCAGAAAAAAGACATAACAATCCAAAATATATAGGCATCTAATCACAAGGCTTTAAAAGAGGTAGCCTTGGCCGGGTAGCTCAGTTGGTCAGTGTCATTCTGATAGACCAAGGTTGTATGTTCGATCGTCAGTCAGGGAACATACAAGAATCAACCAATGGCCCTGGTCAGCTTTGCTCAGTGTTTAGAGCATTGGCCCAAGGACCAAAAGGTCATGGGATTGATTCCCAGTCAAGGGCACATACCTGGGTTACAGGTTCAGTTCCCAGCGTGGTCGGGGGTGGGATGCCTGAAGGAGGCAACCAATTGATGTGTGTCTCTTACATCAATGTTTCTCTCTCTCCCTCATTTTCTCCCTTCCACTCTCTAAAATCAATGGAAAAATACCCTCAAGAAGGATTAAAAACAACAAAAAGTCAATCAATGAATGCATAAATAAGTAGAACACAAATTAATGTTTCTCTTTTGTCCTCTTTCTAAAAAAACCCAATCAACAAAAAAAATTCATGAAGTAAAAACGGAGAGAAATTGGATGAAGAAATTGACAGGCTGAAAGCGTAGCTGGAAGTTCAGCACTCCCCTCAGGGACTGCGAGAACCGACAGCCGAGGACACGAGCAACATGAACCGACTCAACTGCCACTCGGAGAACACCCCCTCCAACAGCAGAATGAACGTTTTTCCCAAGTGCACACGGACATTTATTAAGATAGAATCCATGCTGAGAAATCAAACAAGCCACACTCAATGTAAAAGGACTGAAACAATGTGGAATATTTTCCTATCACATGTAATTAAAATAAAATCAATAACAGAAAAATATCTGAATCCACCCAATGTCTTAAACAACATGCTTCTAAACATCCCATGAGTCATAGAAAGAAACCACCAGGAATATTGGAAAATATGCTGAGTAGAATGAAAATGAAAATACAACAGACCAGAAGTAGTATGATGTAGCTTTAGCAGTACTTAGTGAGAAATACATAGCTTACAATGCTTATTAATATAAAAAGAAGAAAAGTCTAAAATACATTATGTAAGCTTCTATCTTAAAACCTAGAAAAAGAAGAGTAAATTAAACCCAAATAAATAGAAGGAAATAATAAAGTTAAGAGCAGAAAGCAACACTATAGAAAGACAAACCATAGAGAAAATCAATGAAGCCAAGAACTGGTCTTAGAAAAAAATTAATAAAATTAACACACTTCTAGCTAGACATTAAGAAGAAAAGAAAGGAGACAAATAACCAATATCAGAAATGATAGAGCGAACATCAGTATAGATCCTAGACATTAAAATGGATAAAAGGACATATTATTTAATGACTTTGTTTATGAACTTGACAACTTGGATGATAAGCAAATTCCCTGAAAGACACAAACTACCAAAGCTCACTCAAGAAAAACTATATCCTGAATAGCTCTATACCTATTAAGAAAATGGAATTTGTAATTAAAAAACCTTCCCACATGTCCTGGCCCATGTGGCCCAGTGGTAGTGTCTGCCTGTGCACCGAAGGGTCATGGTTTCTATTCTTGGTTGAGGACATGTACCTGGGTTGCAATTCGCTCCCTGCCCATCAGGGCAAGTACAGGAGTCAACCAGTCGATGTGTCTCTCACACTGCTGTCTGTCTCCCCCTCCCTCCCTTCTACTCTCTGAAAAAGCAATGGAAAAAAACATCCTCAGGTGAGGACTAACAAAAACAAACAAACAAAAACACCAAAAAAAACCTCCAACAAAGAAAAGTGGATGGCCCTAGGGCAGTGGTTCTCAACCTTCTGGCCCTTTAAATACAGTTCCTCATGTTGTGGTGACCCCCAACCATAAAATTATTTTTGTTGCTACTTCATCACTGTAATGTTGCTACTGTTATGAATCGTTATGTAAATATCTGATATGCAGAATGTTTTTTCTCTGTTAATTTTTCCCCACCTA